CTCTTTCCCTATATAAAGCAACATTCACAGGTTTCAGGAATTAGAACTTGGATATCTTTATGAGCCATTCTTCAGCCTACCATATTCCTCATTCAGGTTTGTCAGCTTCTTTGTTTCTTTGTTTTTGTTTTTGTTTTTTTTTACTATTGATTCTATAGGAAATTCATCCACATTATGAAAACAATGATTGATTGATTAATATTTTTACTTCCTTTCAGAGTCCATTTGAGGCTCATACAAGAAGCTATGGTGTCAAATTTTTATTATCTAAGGAAATCTTTTATTCAAGTTACATGTTTCCTATTGAATGTAAACTCATGGTCTAGGTTTTGTGGATAAAAAGTTGAATAAAATATAATTATAGCCTTCAAAGAAATTACAGTAAAATGCACTTCCAAGGGTAATTCCGAAATATGGTTAGAAGAATGGCAGTGTGATTCTTCCTGGAGTTCTCTGGAAAAAGACAACAGTATTCAAAGACATGAAGAGAGATCATCAGCACATCCATTCTAATTCCTTTTTTATATTTTCTGCATGGTCCTTAATCATCCTAAGTTGAAACAGAAGATATACAAATCACTCTCTCCAAAAAGGAAGAAAAATTAGATTAAAAAATAAGCTGACACAAAGCATGCTATATTCATAATAGTTGCCCTCTCAAAGCAGCATAGGATGGTTTTCCAGTTATCCAACAAGAATGACGTCCAATTTCGCATAAACAAGTTTCACAATGAACAACATATGGGTATCAGTTAGGTTTTTTGATGATCTAGAATGGCAAATTCTAGAAAGGAGCCTACAGATGTCTTAAATAATGACATATTTATTAATCTTTTCACAGAAAGGGACTTTAGAAACCCGAAACTGATGGATGAGAAAAATTTCACCAAAGTGAAAGAGTTCATACTTTTAGGGTTCACGACAGACCTGTGGTTACAGAGAGTACTCTTTTTCATCTTCTTCATAATTTATATCATCAGTCTCTTAGGGAACATAACCCTGATCTCTCTGATCTGTGCTGATTCTCGGCTCCACACACCTATGTATTTCTTCATTGGAAGACTTTCGTTCCTGGATCTCTGGTACTCTTCTGTCTATGCTCCCAAAATCCTTATGATCTGCATCTCTGATGACAAAAGCATCTCCTTTGCTGGCTGCCTAGCTCAGTTCTTCTTCTCAGCTGGACTGGCCTATAGTGAATGTTACCTGTTGGCTGCCATGGCTTATGACCGCTATGTGGCCATCTCCAACCCCCTGCTTTATTCCCAGGTGATGTCCTCTGGGCTATGCACCAGTCTCGTTGCAGCTTCATGCCTTGGTGGCTTTCTTAACTCCACCATCATTACCAGTGAGACATTTACCCTGAGCTTCTGTGGGAACAATATTATTGATGATTTCTTTTGTGATCTTCCCCCCCTTGTAAAGCTGGCCTGTGACGTGAAGAAAAGCTACCAGGTTGTGCTCTATTTTATACTCGCCTCTAACGTCATTACTCCCATCATGCTTATTCTCGCCTCCTACCTCTTCATCATCGCTGCTATCTTGAGGATCCGCAGCACTCAAGGCCGCCTCAAGGCCTTCTCCACTTGTGCCTCTCACTTGACAGCTGTCACTCTGTACTACGGTTCAATTCTCTTCATTTATTCCCGACCAAGCACTAGCTATGCCCTGGAGAGGGATAAAGTGGTGTCGGTGTTCTATACTGTGGTGATTCCAATGTTGAATCCTTTGATCTATAGCTTAAGAAATAAAGATGTTAAAGATGCCCTGAGAAAAATGGTAGAAAGAGCAAAGTGTTCTTAAATAAAAATGCTTGGTAAATGATGGCTGTACTTTATTTTACAGAGTATCTCCCTGTCATTATTATCAGCTATACGCTCAAAAATAAAATAAAACAAACAAACAAAAAAACCAAAATCATTGGATAATGTGGAAACACCGGTCTGCTTTTGTCTTTAAAATGATGTGTTTGAACATGTTTTTAAAGTAAATGAGCCTGGCACTTTTGGAAAAACTGCTATGCCTGCTAGCTTGGAACAGAGTCCATAAAATCATTGTGATTCTGAGAATGTTAAGAGAGCAGCTTTTTGATTTTCACTTCAAGGTTCAGATATAGCCTGTATATACATATTTAAATCTATAAATGAGATTATTAAAATTGGTTATAGAGTCATTGTCAGCATTAGATGGAGTAAATGATTTGCTTCAAATCATGGTGAAAGCAGGAA